GGGGGGGGGCGGGAGGGGCTGGAGAAGGTCCGCACGAGGAGCCGCTCGCACTCGATGCACATGGGGGACGTCGGCGGTGAGTGTGTTCCCGTCCGTACCTGCCGCGATGTGGGCGAGCCAGGGGTATCACCACCACTACGCTGTATTGTAGTAGTAGTAGTAGTAGTAGTAGTTGTAGTAGTTGTAGTAAGTACTAGTAGTAATATAGTAGTAGTAGTAGTAGCAGTATTTTGCTCTCAAAGTCGACTCTTCCGAGGTGTGTACTCCTCGGCACTGTAGCCGCTAGCGCAGTTGAATGATCACCCCCACTACTTCGTGGTTATCTCTGCTTGGACCAGGCTTCGGGCGCGCCTATAATCCACGATTTACAACCCTATGAGTTGTGAGTGGACCTTAGGTCAGAGGTGACGCTGGTGATCCTTACGATGAGCGCCCGTGTAGTCAGTGCAACACGTAGTGTTGTAGACCGCGGGTGCATGTGTGCGTGGGGGTGTCACGTGTTTTGTACGATGGTATGATGTTGTGCTTTGTTGTGGGTGATGGTGGTGATGGTGGTGGTGATGGTACTGAAGACGCTGCTGTTTGTTCTTGTGGTCGTCGTGGTATTTTTACCCGTTCTGGCGTTTGTCTCCGGTGAAGTAAAGAAGGCCGAGTGTCTATGCCGGCCGTGGTGCCGCTTGTAGTGTTGACGACCGCTTGATGATGACGCTGTTACGTGGTTAGTTGTCATCGTCGCCTGCTGCCGCCGCTTGCTCTGGTCTGATTCGCTAGTGAACGGGCTGGACCTTCCGATCAACACGTTTTCGTGCACGGTGGGCCTCAAGCTAAGCCAGGCGAACTACTACATCAAGAGCAGCGCGGCGGCGGCGGCGCTTTGCAAGGAGGCAAGTTTTAGGCTGCCTGTCGTTTTGACGGGTGTGTATGTGCTCATACATAGCCGTGCACACTGTAGTCGTTGGGCCGGTGACCTCGCATCCCTACTATGCCGGGACGGGCTACGCCGGGGGGGGGTACTTGCGCGTTGCCAACTCTCGCCTCAAGACCATTCCGAGGCAAAGGTCCATACCCTTTTTTTGTGGCAGATCAGCTTCTAACGATCACGTTTGCCCCCGGTCTTGTCCCGGCATCTCTTTTTTCTTTCGAAGACACGTCGACTACCTCTCCCTCCACATGTATATGTATTTTTACTTCAACATGGTTTTGCTTTTCTGACCCCAGTTTTTGCGTGAAAACGCGGTTGTACGACGACCTTCAAGCCCCTTCGTGAGCACCCACCCCCGCTAAATGATGCGCACCAGTTTTTTTTTTGTTGCGCTTTGCTTTGCGTTCCTGCAGCTGAGCCAGGTGAAGGACAAGGAAGACTACGGGAGCTTCGAGGGGTACGAGGACGGGGCCGGCGTGTACGTGCAGTACGCCGTTGCTAACCAGCAGGGCGCGGCGAAAGCTCCTCCCCACACGTCGTCCGCCTCCAACATCGCTGACCTCGACATCGTCATGGGCTCGCAGGTGCTGTATGTTGTTGTTGTTGTTGCTGTTGTTGGTTGTTGTTGTTGTTGTTGTTGTCGTTGTTGTTGTTGTTGTTGGCAGTGTCGAAGGTGCCGGTGGTGCTGGTGGTGACGTCGGTGGCATTGGTGCTGTCGGGTGAGTGTCAGTACTATTTTTTGGCGGTGTTGAAGGTGGTGGGGGGTAGGGGTGGCGGCGTCGCCAGTGCCAGGTGAAGAAGTTGACGGGAAAGTGATGGGGTGTACAAAAGAAGCTTGCAGGGCGATTTGTGAAAAAATGTTGGTGGCGGTGCTGGTGTCGTCTCCTCAGTCACCGGTCGGTGTGTGTGTGTGTGTGTGTGTGTGTGTGTGCAACACTCAACACGCTTATGTTGGATCGGTGTGTCATGTCACGCCATGACATGTCATGTCATGCCATGCCAGGGAGAGAGGGACAGGCACACAGGCTCTGACACGTGGTGCAATACTTGTTCGCACCTCGCCTGGGTGCAGCGACAACAACGATGAACACCGTACGGCACCCCAACTCCTCTTCCATCAGCACACAGCAGCTGTTTCTCCCCGATGCCACAACCCGACCTCACTCCCCCACCCCCCGCATATACTCAGTTCCCCGACGGCAACAGCGGCGGCGGCGGCGGCGGTGGCGGCGCCACCGGAGACCGGTTCCAGCCGATGGGCTACCAGGGCCGTTCGGCGAAGCGGTCTCTGACGCCGAGCATGAACTACAACCAGGTCTCTACCGCCTGGTCCGACTTTGCCGAGGCAATCGACGCCAAGCACGTCGACGACGGCGCCGGCGGTTTCAGCGACCTGGTCAGCGGCGCGGCAGGCGGAAATGGGCAGTTCGGCGGCGGCCGTGGGGGTCTCAACGATTGGGACTTCGATCCGCCCGACAGCGTGCCGGCAGGGTTCACTACTCTTAGCGGCGGTGGGAGCGGCTACCGCCCGGGGACGATGAAGCACGCCAGGAGCGCCGGGTCGATCTCGACGAGCGCCCTTGGGTGGCAGACAGATGGGACAGGCGCGAAGTAGTTTTTTTTTTTAAGGTGTCCGGATATTTACTTTGGATGGTTTTGCTTGCGTGGCGGTGTTTCAGGAAGAACAAGTGCGGTGGGAGAAAGAAGAGAGCAGAAGTACTACTTCTACTGCATTGTGGTATTCACCAGTGCCTCTCCTATGTATAGGTGACGCCACACGCCATCAATCCGATCATCTGTGCAAAAAATGCGCCGAAAAAATTGTTTTAGCTGCGTGCCACCCCACCTTGCGCATGTAGTCAGTAGTTTTGTTGTGGCCACCGGGTGTTTTTTAGCCGTCCGAAGCACCGCCTCGGGCGCTGGTGTGTCTTGCGGGGGAAAGGTAGCGGAAAGACACCAGGATTTCGTTTCGGTCGCCAGCGAAATGAGTTGAGCGGTGCGAAGCGATGCCTATTTGTTGGCTGTAGTTTTGATGGGTGACAAATACCCCGGTGGTGTGATAAGCCCCCCTGGCGGGTGGTGAATAGCCGCCTCCCCAAGGTACCACCCGCTCCCCCCCCCCCCC